GACGTGTTGAAAACATAATATCAATGATAATTATTATTGTCACTACACAGTTTATGACGCCTGCAGTAATAAATATTTGAACTTTGCGTGTTTTAAAAATAACTGTTGTTTACGACGTCAAGAACCGTGGACAAAAATTAAACAACCTAGTAGCTATAAGGTAAATTCATTTTTAGTGTTCCTAATAGATAAATACACACATATATATATATATATATATATATAGGTACAACCCATGGCAAATCTAAAGATCTTTTAAGACAGGGGTAATGCGGTATTATATAGGTATATATTGAAAACAAATTTCATCATTTTTTTTATTTAACGTAGTTGAACCCCACAAATGTGTTTACAAAAGAATATTTCAGAGGATTAGGGTTTAAGTTTGTACACTTTCATATTCTCATAACAAAGAAGTTAACATATTTTCAAATGTAAGATTATTGTTCTTTAAAAATTTCAATATTGTATAACATTCATTTTTAGCCTTTTAGGTATCTACCTCGCTATTACTAAATGTTACATTTAATATTTTTTTAGTGAATATAGCCTAAATGATAACGTAATTCATATTACTGTGATGATAATGCGGACTAAGCAATATCGCCGTATCAGTAATAATTTTTTAAAAGCAGGAAAATCACAAACAGTTAGAAATAACAATAACAATATGCCTTCTATCTAGTAATAAAATAAAATACAAATTGTAATTATCTACCTCATTGATAGAAACCGCAATTGAGACTATTAAAAACTTACTTTCGTGTTAATTTTCATACAATTTCGGATGGGGGGTAAAATTCCTAACCTCCTTCCTGTACACGCATCTGAAACCCCCTACCAGTTATGATATCTATTTAATTTATGTAACTATTAAAATTAAGTCCAAGGAGAAGCATCGCAACGTCACCCATCCTCTTCAAATCCACAAATTGCGTATGACATATTATTATTATTATGTGACATATTATGTTTACCCGTAAGCAGCCGAATTCATTTACTAGAGACACAATTTTTCCCCAGCTCATTAAGTTCAAAATGTGTCGCTAAAGTAGTCAAAATAATCAGCAAATATGTATGTATAAAAAATACAATACAGTACAATAGCCTCGATTTTCGAAGAAAATTCGATAAAAATACAATTTTATTATAATAAGTTAAAAAAAAAAAATGGTTTTTAATAGTTCCAATACCGAACATAAAAAAGCACGTTATCTTTGTATAGTACGTTTCGATAGTCATTTATTACAGGCTTAGGGAAAAAAATCCCTTTTAGCTAATTTATAACGAATAAAAAAAAAAAAAATGAAAAAAAACCCCTCTAAACCTCGACAACGCGTGTCTGGGGAAATGAATTCGGTTGTTTTTTTTTTTTTTTTTGTTTTGTTATTTTAAGGTTAAATCGTGGTTCAAATGAGGTTTTTGTATCAATCTTCGGTGTAGGTAGGTAGATTTACGTCACATCCAGCCAACCGTATCGATGGTGTAGCAGTGGCGGTGTGACATCACACTGCACACACGAGAAGTTGTTGCGGCTAGAAGAGACTCGTATACTGCAATTGTGTTGATTCTCTGGGGGAATTAAATGCTAAAATTGGGTAAAACTCTTTTTCCGTTCACGGCCCCTTTGCAAGAGCATCGCGCGTTCACACTGGGGCGATGAATATTGTACTTGAGTATGGGTGTATATATATATAGTATATACACATACGTATACGCCATCTGACCGCAAAGTTTACCGCCAAACTTTACATAATATACCTACATAATTTGTGGACGTGCCGACGACAGACGTACATTGATTTTTGTTTTACAAACTAATCGAATAATAATATCGTAAGCTTTTGCGATGTTATATATATATATTTATATGTATTATAATATATTATTTAGGTATCGTATAATCTGCAGAATACAAGGAATACTTTATATGATATTTCATAATAAACGATTTATGTTCGTGAAAAAAATTGTTTTAGTACTACACAGTTATTACCTAAAATTATGTAGCATCCAATGATCTCTTTACGATGAATCGAAAATAATATGTTCCACATTTATAATATTTGTGAACAAAAAAAAAATACTCTTAGAATACGTAACAGTAGGTACATTTTGTTTTTACACCATAGTCTGTAATATTATGAAGTTGTTAATTCTCTAAAATCTCTTCATCCTATCCCACCTCAAAAACCGATTCTTTGTAACAAGGGTAGGCACTGAGTCGTAATCATTTTCCTCTGTTCTAGTTGGTTTCCCTCTAGGTGCTGTTTTCTCTCCTTTCCAATATATACCTTATACACAGCTGACCAACAAAATACCTCGCATACTTCAGTGGCTGAATTTGAATATAACAAAATTATATATACTTTTTAAAATAATCCGCACACTGCTAAGCAACACTTACAAAACCACTTAAACAGACTATATTCCTGGTACACTCAATGGATAGTTAATTAATTAATAATGAAAATTCATTAGATATTACTTTTTTTTTAAACTAGGTGAATTACTTTCAATCAATTTAAACAAAGAAACTATACCAAAAGTCTTGAACGTCTATTACCTAGACCTATCTCTAAATAAACGTTTCACCTGGGCGGAACATGTAAAAATCAAACGTACCATCCTATACCTCAAGAGGAAATCACTGTGATATTTGCTAGATAATTTACACTCTAAACTTAATTTTAAAACCAAACTACTAATTTATAAGTAACTTCTCATGTCTATCTGGACTTATAGCATTCAGTAATGGGATGCAGCCAAGTTGTCAAATTTAAACAGAATACAAAGATTCCAATCAATAACCTGCATGATTACTAAGGCTCCCTTCTATGTATTCAACCATATAATTCACCCAGACTTAAATAACAGAATTGTTCCAGAAATGTCCTAAATTATCTATAAAAGTTATCGTTCACGACTAGAAAACCACCCTAATGCACAAATTTCAGCACTTGACTCAAATTTAAATAAAAAAAAAAAAGGAATACACAATATAACATGTGTATAAAGTGTAGCTTCTGGGTTATTGCCATTATCAAGTAACGTTGTTAACGTAGATAACGTTATTATCAAAGCCTATATTCTTTTTATAAAATTAGTTTACAGGTTGTGTATCGGGTAGTGCATTTTATCGTTTGTTTTTTTCAAATATAAAATATACCTAAACAAATATTTTATTATTTATTATTTGGATGGTTTTTGTTGCTGTCTGCCCGCTATCATTCATTGGATCATTGGAAACTACCGATGCCGAAAGTAACATTTTTCATTTAGTTAAAACAACACTAATACATAGATAAAGGAAACATTAATACTTAACTAGGATAAAGAATTGATTGGCTTAGTAGAGCACGCCATTACTACATCGCTTTGTTTCGCCTCGCTTCACCTCGCTTCGCTCAGAACCGAATATTTATAGTTGTCGCATTGTGTTTTTCATAAATCGTCCCGCGATCGAAAGGAATATTACACATCAAGCGTTCATTTCTCATCTATAGTTTTTCAAGTTCATCCGTACTGTTCGCAATAGATTAGTTGTGTTTTGTATGTAAATCGTGGTTTATATTTAAAATAATAATAGTGTTTTAGCGTTCGTGATAAATCGTTACGTTTAGGTAACGTCAACTGTCAACTATGTACCTATTAAATGTCTAAATCCATAAACATAGAGACACTCCATGTCCCATGGATACGATATATGCTCGTTGTCGATCCATACAATAAATGCGGTTCGAGTCTATGATAATGTTACCGATAAAATCACGTTAGGGTGTGGTTACGTTACGGACTAGTAGACCAGTTTGTTGTTCACTAGTTTCTAATGTGCACCACGTTAGTAAATAGTAGGATAAATAGATAGGATCACAGCTATATGTGTAATTCGCAAGGGACCGATTGAGTAGTTCTTCTATCTGACCTCCGCCGAAAGCGTTTAACCTAGTAATTCGTTTTTTGCACATTGTCGGCTATTCAGACATAAGCTCGTAAGTTGTTGTTTTGGTTTTGTAAACAATTTGATCCAATCAAAAACTTTTCAGGAATTTCCTCATAGTTGCCGCATTTGTATTGTCTTTTTAAATTGTCCTTATATTTTTCAAGTTTTTCTTGCCACAGTTTGTGAAATTTGGTGAAACTGAGTTTTTGCTACGTAGCCGACGACATTTTGATAAGAATATAGGACGATTCAAAATTCTGGATGTGAAAAAACAAAAGAAAAATTAACACCCTTTAACGAAGAATACATTCGTTTTTATTTACGAAAATAAATAAATACATTTTCACAATAAGGCGGTTTTGTTACTAATTATTGAACGTTATATTTGAACACGTAATTATAATAAATGAAGAGTGATGGGCCACTGGGTATTAACCCGGTGGGTAGATAAATTTATTAATGGAAAAATAACGGGTATTCACGCATAATTTATTTACATATTGAAATTAAAATTGTATTTTTCAAAAATTACTCTCCTTCAACCCAAAATTAAAAATGGAATACCTCATCAACGGCTTGACGGAAATCAAAAGTGTCAACACTACAATAAGTTTTAACTAATATTCCATCTATCGATGGACTTGTAGGTTAAAATATAGGTTGGGATATAGGTTGCCATTTTAAAATCAAAAGTACAGTTTTTCTCCCGAAAACAAGGGTGCCTAAAATTACATAAATATAAAATTGTAGAGCTGTTTGTTTCTTAAATGTTCTAGAAAACAAATTTCGAAAAAAGTTTAAACTTTCCGAGATAATGAGTGTACCCACTTAAATGGATCAAATGGCACATTTATAGATTACTACTATATATAGACTACTAATGTGTATATTAATTTAATAAAAGCTGTGAATTATTGGGTAAATTACTTGCAACTTATAACCTATTTTTTTGTAACTCATTATTAATTATTGTGAATTTTGCTTTTCGAATGTTAGTTAAGGACACGTAAGTTAGGAATGTTGTTACTTAAAAAAGGAATTTTAATATTTAGATACATTAATGAAAATCATGCGCTGTACGCTTGAGTTTGACAGTGTTCTCGGGATTGATATTTGGTCGCCAAATGGTTGACGTCGGTTTTGGCGTTTTTTCCGGGGCCACGGGTAAAACGAGTTCTAAGTTTGATGGTATTGATGGAGGAGAAAGTGATAGTGGTAATTTTGAGGGTGGGTGAGAACGTTGTGGTGGTGGTGATGTTGGTGGTGACGGTACAGATGTAGATGTGGGAGTCGGTAATATAGCTGGTGAAACCATAATATTATAAAATATTTATGGTTGCGGGGGTATAAGCCGTACATACGATTAACCAGGATGTGCCGTACTGGTTCCCATGCCTCGTCCTACGCTCATAATTCCTCACCATTCCTGTACTCTTAAAATTAAATTGAATACAGGTAGACTTAAATGTAAACGTATTCAAATTAATGCTGTTGATACGTATTCTGTAAGGAAATAAAGATACACAGATCCTAGTGTCCGTATTTGTTTTTCAGTGTTTGAATTTTTTTCGCCTTAACGCCGTTAACATCGCTATTTTATATGTATTTATGTTATTAATTGAAGTTTACTATTGCGATTTATTAGCAGATATTTAAGCAGCTGCTTTAAGTAGGTACCTACTAAAGTTGCGTACCCGGCTCCGGTAATAAGGTGTCCGCTGAGCACTATCTTAAATAGTATGGACTGGAGACGATATTTACCTTATATAATAGACAGACAGATAGATCTATATTTTTTTTTTTATTAACTATGAATTAGTGTCATATTATGATATAAATAATTAGTTGTCTTTATGCAAATCGCGGTGTATCTTTGAAACAAAACTAATTGATATTGTACACTGTACAGCATAATAAACATTTTGGGCTTATCATTGTGCTCTATCGTTCGTGATCAACCGTTACATCTAAGTCACGTTAAATGACGAATATGTACCTACTATAATATGTCTAAAACCATAGACATGTCTCGTTGATATACGTATGTTCATAATCAATATAATATTTTGTAGCTGATACTTCCCATAAAATACCGAAAATTTCTCGTTGCTGTACCATTAAATTGAAAAAATTACAGTAAACACCAAAAGTCATTTTAAGACATTAACATGATTTAAATTTCAACAAAAAAAAGGTGTCTATTTGTATTTTTGATCTAGGCAAGATTTCCGATAGAAAACATTAATCGTACAAATTTGAATAAATGAAGTCGGTATAGCTACGGGGTTTGCGGTAAATATGTTTTCGTTTTCCTATATTTTTTCTTTCGGTTTTTCTCAATTATAATGAAAACTGCTAGCGAAATCAATGAACTACCAAATTAAAATGAAACCGGCAAAATCTAGAACGACTCATTTTTCTACATGGAAATATACAAAAAAAAATTGTATGAAAAAAAATGGTCGTTCCAAACTTTACTGTGCCAAACATTCCATGCTGGTTTTTCTTTTCGTTAAAACAAATCATATAATAATGAAACTTAACTATACAATAAACACTTTTTTTTTTATGATTTTTCTTTGTTTTTCATATGAATGGTTTTATTTATTCCACGGGGACGAAACGGTAATAAAACAATTTATGTGCATATTATTATATTTATTATTTGGAATTTGTTGTGAAATTAATTTGGATGAAGTTGGCGAATTTGTTAAAAACTTCCGTAATGATTTCTCGGCTATTTCTTGTTTTTGCTTGGTATTTTTATGCGATACCCGCTTATATTAAATGTTTTCTTTGTTTTTATAGAATCTTCTGGTTTTACCATAGTGTATGTGTGTGTTTTCTGTTTGCATACAACTCTTTGAACAAAAATCTTGCTTCAGTCAAAAAATGACAAGAGACCTCTTTTCTTGAATTTCGGGCCTATCTAGATGCTTTAAAGAAATATATTTTTAATTTTTAAAAGATTTCCAAAATAAATTTAAAAATACGAGAATTATGGGAAAAACAGTAAATATTTTCGCGCGTCACGATGTAACCGATCGCGTTTTGTTTGATTTCTATGCAACACATTATGTTTTCCACCAGAAATAATGGCTTTAATCAAATAATGATAAGATACCTTTTTTGTTGCATTTTGTATCTTCTTCCTGAGGAAGTGAGTTAGTTTTTTAATTTTACAAGCGGTTTTTTTAACAATTGGGGGAGGCCGAAAAAAGACGTAAAATGAAAATTGATAAATTTATTGCATTATGACTCCATTATTTAAAATTTTTCGTATTAGGTTTTTTACATATTGCTCCAAACAAAAAACGACAAGAGACCTTTTTTGTTAAAATTTAAATCTTATTGGTTAATAAGAAAATCATTTTATGATTTCAATCGTATTTTTTTCTAATAATTCAAGAAAAACAGGTAAAAAGTAAAAAGAACCGAAAAATTATCTGTGCGCAAACTTTTCTACCAGAAATCTTGCTCCGATTTATAATGATAGCACTTATTCTAAAAAGGTCATTTTTCGATTTCTTTTCAGGACTTTTCATAGTAAATTGGAAAAAAATGAAGGAAAACGGAAAAATATATGAAATGTAGTTGAAAAAATACGTTTATTTGAATAGAAAGACGGGCCTGTGGATCACTGACTAAATTTACATGCACAATTAAAGGCGGTTAAAAAATTAAAGTGGTTTAATCAGGCATCATGTAAACGATTTGATCCGACCTTAATAAAACGACCGGGTTTTAATTTAAGGACGCTCGAATATGCGGTTTAACGAAATTAAATTGATTTTATAAATAAAATCGGTTGTATTTTTGTGCACTTTTCCTTTTTGATAAGTGTCAACATAAATCATAATACATATCATTCAGATTTCATTTTTTTCCAAATCATTACCTACCACTTTAATATAAAAGATTCGCAAGTCTGGCAATTCGGGTCAACTCATAATAAAATCGGTTTAAATTAAAAACTGCTTAACTCGTATCATGTAAACGTAGTACCTGTTATTATACGAATTTAACCCACCCAGAAATAGAGCTCTAGCTGCGCCTATGACTAGCACGAAAGTCGGTTGCTAACGGAGTTTTCTTTTCGCTTAATTTCAATATTTTCAACTGTGTAAAGTGAACACGCACGCCTGCGCAGCTCACAAATAACACACGCCGTTATGGCGAATATCGCACTTGTAGTTATTTGGCCATGGTAATTTCCATTTCGTACACATTATGCATATTATAGAAACAATACGTGGTCATTTAATCGTATCGAATGATGATATTAAATTAATTTACGTTGAGTTTTAGGTAGGCGTGTGATATGACGTGTACTTACTGTGTACACTCGAAAGTAAACCCGCAACCCATTACTAGATTTGAATTCATTACAGCGTTATTACAGGTGGGTTGTGTAATATTAATTATGCGATGCGATATTGTTCAGTGCTCGACTGTCCAAACAGCAGATGAGGATTACAAGTATGCGACATCATTCAGCATGATGTTATACGAGAATTTATAGCTCCATTACATTAGGGCTATCTATTTCATTCGTTTCAGAATTTCTAATTTCGGCAATGTAAGGCTGATTGCAAATAATCAAATTTGTCTCGTATCGGAATATTATTAATTCCTCTAAGTTTAGAGTGATAAAATGACACACGTTCAGCGGTCGGTAATAAGCGGTGTAAAGGAAATTTAAAAAAAAAAAAAAAAAAAAAAACCAGAATAAAAAATAAGCAAATTCGCTTTCAAATAAACAGTCAGTGTTGACTCGTCGCTGTACTCCTACGACATTATCATGAGAGTTTATTTGGCTATTGTGTTACTAAACGTGACATTTTCTCACAAAGACGTTATGTACGCAATACGAAAGAAAAGTACTCTTCAATTTTATTTTAGACACAAACCACCTTTTCTGTTGTTAGCTTAGTATAACTGTCTACAGCCCCTTGATTTTTAATGCCGCAACAACCCACGGCCTACACTCCCCCAATCACTTGTAGCTTCTTCTGCGCTCCCGACTAATAGCAATGTCAATTCTTTTTGTACCTGCTTTGTCCGCCCAATTTTGTCTTGATTGTACTCTGAGGGTCACTTAGTATTTGGTCTCCATTAATTTATTCGTCAAATTAGTCGTTCTAATCGTTATACAAGCCCCGCCCAACTTATTCTGTAGGTTTTTTATTTCTACATTTCTTTAGAGATTTCTCCTTATTTCGTATCATGCGTCATTATTTCTTATAGACTAAACATTTGTCCTAGTATATTTTTCTAGTTTTCGTTCATCCGATTTCGTAATGGCGTAACGAACGTAAAGAGCTATTGGTCTCGAATATAATGAAACTTTTATAGCCGAAAATTTGTATGTTTTCCGTGTATATTTTTTTTTCGGTTTTTCCCTCAATTGTTATGAAATTATTGGGAAAATCAAAAAAATTGGAACCATCAATCAGAAAAAATCGTCTTTCAGAAAACATACTATACTTGAAATTCGGTACCATATTTCTGGTAGAAAACAAAAATTGAATAAAATTATTATTAATGTAATCATTTAACGTTGTAAATGTGCCCTTCTTTTTTTTTTCTTTTTTTTTTTTAACTCCTCAATGTATCAACTGGATCTAAAATTCAACGGAAAAAGCGTCTTTTCATTATTTGATTGGAGCAGGATTTCTGGTAAAAACGTTGTCTACAGACAAAACAAAAACCCAAGTACATCATAGTAAAACCAATTAATTAAGTCATCGCTCCTCTCAGAATTCAAAAGTTTTTTCTCGAATTAATTACTACACACAACAGTTAATAGACACTGTCTTATTAAAAGCCCGACAATAATATTGTTAATTAAGAGTAGTGTAAGTTTTTTGAGAACATTGTTTTCTGCAGGCAGGGAAGCATATTTATTATAAATATGATTTCAATACTGGTTGAATCTGATCGTTTCGGATAATATGAAAACATAAAAAAAAAAAAAAAAAAAAACATGTTATGAATATTATTACAAGAACCAAATAATATTATAGGTAATTTTATTGTAAGAATTGTTCATCATACTATTTCATTAAAATATTTATTAATATTTAGTTTTCGTAAAATAATATTTTACGAACACAATTTTATAATATAGTTCGTGATAATTTTCCCCCGGTATTTTTTGAAGGGTCTAAAGTTTATGGGCCAGGGGGAAATGGGACACCGACAATAGAATAAAAATTGCGCCATATCCAACAAAAGCAATTTAAATATGCATAATAAATTCAAACGAAATGTTCGTACTATGCGTATACGTGTACATTTTTTATAATAGAAGAA